CTTGGTCAGAAGTCAATCGTTATCTATCCTCTTTATCTTTACTTCCAATTCACTCATTTTAGATTCATATCATGCACCTTGTTCAGTTAAATTCTACCTTGAGGGGCTCTATGAGCGTTGGTTGAATGTCCGTTAAAAACGAAAACAAAAACAGAAATAAAGAAAGACCTTTGCCGTCTTGATTATGCAAAAGTGAAGACAAATGATAAGGAAAAAAAGTGTTTCTTTTCTCACGCTTGAAAGGGTATATAATGTGAAATGTCGACGTTTAAGAATTAACCTGGAAAGACAAAAAATTTAAACTAAGATAAATAAAACCAGAATAGAAAAAAAAATATTTGAGATGCTCGGAAAGTGATGAGATTTTTCTTGTGTTCTTTTTGCGACTCTGAAAACGATAAAAGAATTTGAAAAGAATGCTTAGATTTTATCGATCTCTGTTTTGAAATAGATTTTAAATATTAAAAAAACAAAACAAAACAAAACAAAAAAACATTTATTAACGTAAGGAGCCAGAAAGACTGGCGCCAGATCCATTTAAACCGCGCTTCATTGCATCTTTACTTTCAAAGTTTCTCATTACGACGTTTAGATTTTATCTTAAATGAATCGAAAACATTTTCTTCCGTTGTTTGTTGGCATTTCCTTTCGTTCTTTGTGTTTAACAGCCTCAAAAAGTATCAGAATTTAAAAAAAAAGAAGATGTTTCTACCACAGTCTGCGTTATTTACACACACAAATACACATATGTATGTATATAAATGCGATGGGTAAATTGTCGTCAGTTTATATTTTAAACTTCGCGCATGCGCTGCGGTATTTTTTTATTTTTTATTTTTTTTGTCGACTACACAATATCAGTAGGACACAGTCTGTGAGAAAAAGAGCACCATGACGCAATTCGTTCCGCCAGAAATTTGGAAACGGCTTGTTGTATTGTTTGGCATTCGCGCCGGAAGATCCAATATAAACATTTCAGATTGTTTGGTTGTCAATCTGAGGACAGTGCAGAGGATACTGTGTTCTTAAAAAATGTACCGAGATGGATCAAAACCAAATATCAAGTCAACATCATAGTTTTTTAACTGATCACTAGTGATGGTGATGTTGTGCCTCCATTGCTTTTCTCACATGGCCTCGTAAAGAGTTGGATGAGTCTAATGGTGATTGCGAAGGTACGACATTTAGGAAAACCAACTCTGATCGTTCGGATAAGAAAAGAACTCCCTAATTTGTTGGTGAGGGTCTCAGTCTCAACTCATAGGCCTACATCAAGTACCTTGAGGAAGTAATGCTACCCTGGGTCAAGAGGGTGGGTTCTGGAAGACACTCTGCACCATGCCACAAAAGCAGGGAAACCCAGTCGTGGCTGTCAGACAATATCTGTGACAACATCATCAGTTACATCTGGCTACATAACTCCCGAGACTGCACCGACCTTGATTATTATGTGTGGGGTGCTCTTGGGGGGGAGAGAGAGAGAGAGAGAGAGAGAGAGAGACCAACAAAACTCACTGTAACACTAGACATAAAGTTAGTTCTCCTGAATGATTATGGCAACATTCACCAACTTAAACAAGGAAACCGCCCAGAAAAAGTTGCAGGAGATACCGAAGTCGTCTGGAGATCGTGTTTGAATCTAATGGCGATTTTAATGAATAAATTTTACTGTTTAGTATTTCAAAATATTTTTGTGCAATTTTTGATAAATATATCTTCAAATGTGATGCCAGTGTTATTTTCATTTTTGTGCAATTAAGACAATATATTTATCACAACATATAATATATATATATATATATATATATATATATATATATATATATATATATATATATTATTTCCATTATTCGGACTATTGTCCTCATCTTTGTCGCCATATTTATCACAACGTTTCAGCCGTTGTACGCTCCGGCCTTCTTCAGGTGGTTGGAATGTCGAACTGAACTCTTTATTTTGCTCACTGGGGTAGACTGTTCTAGTTCCACGTGCCATGTTTTGATGGATGCCAGTTATCAGTTATCTCCTGTTAATTTTTCCTCTGAAAGTTCTCCACTGCCTTCACCGGGCATTGAACTGATAACTGACATCCAAAAACAAATGTTTTTTTGTTAAATCATGGAGCTTGCAGTCGCAACGCTAAGGTTGAATTTTTTAGAAAATTTAAGAGAGTCCATTTTCTTTTACTAATATGGTAATTTGAGAATTTTTTTTGTTGTTGGAGTTTTTTCAGTCAATGTGGCATGAACTAAATTGTTCAATAAATAGAGTAATGTCGCAGCTGTTATCCCGAAAATTTGCAAGTCGGATCAGTTGATTTTAAATCAAATATGTGGTGCAGTTCAATATATATATATGGCGTGAATCATTCATACAAAAATCTACTTTTGTATGAATGATTCACGTTATATATATATATATATATATATATATATATATATATATATATATATATATATATATGTGTGTGTGTGTGTGTGTGTTTGTGTCTGTGGGTATATACGAGAACTGATCAACAAGTATTGAGACTTACTATAAAACTACATCGCATATTAGTTCACCATTTAATTTCTTTCGAAGTAATACCCTTCTAAAGCCACGAACTTTAACCAACACTATTGATGTAAGCATTCCTGGAACTTTCAGTTTTTGTCTCTTTCTGGTCATGAAATCATGTACCTTTAAAAATGTGATTTGATTTTTCGGAAGAGGAAAAAATGGGCGAGATCTGGGGAATATGATGGTTGTCGGACCCGAGAAAGTTTTGCGCTCAACCAAAAGCTGCTGCACAAGCCTTAGTCATTGGTGGAACCACTGGGGTATGTTGAGACGACCACACTCTATAGACTTTCCTTCCAAGCACTGCTATAACGGAAGTGAGTGAGAACATCATAGCCTAATGTGTACCTGTGACAAAATTCAAGGTCAATCTGTGCCAAGCGGCTTCACGCTGCATACTTTAGTTCCTTTACCATAGCAACAGTTCCGATTACTTTTTGATCGGACCTCGTACATAGATAATTTCAAGAGAAAGTAGTTTTACTGATGGTACTTATTGCATAGATTTTTTTGGCATTGTGTATAAATAAATATATGTATTATTTCTCTCTGTAAACCTTAAATTCCATTAGTTTCTGAATCGGTGTCGCTTCTCAGTTCATTATCCTGTGATTCATAAGAGTAACCTTTGTAAAAAGACCCAGTAATAACTAGCACAGACAACCTAGGTGTGGCAGAATGTTATTAAACATCAGACAAGAGAATCTTATGGCGCCGTTTTATTTAACAAGCGTTCGCGGTGATTAGTGTTACAAACAGTAAAAATATGCTTTTTTTCAGACGCCATTGAATCGTTTAACGGGAATTAAAATGGATAAACTCCCCAGTTAATTTTGCAATTCATTTTTTTCAGTCATTTTAATTAGATTTTTTTTTTCAACTCACAGAAAAATATCTGATGCGAGTTGCGACAGCAATAATTAAAAGAAAAATTAAATTGGTTACTTTAGTAATTTTATTCATTTATTTAGACAACTAATGTAAAAAAAAATAAATGTTTTTTTTTAATTTTTTTTTTGTCTTCGAAAACTACGACATATATATCGTAGTATCGAAGACAAAAATATCAAACATTCGATGAGCTGGTTATTTCTTTTTCGGTACTGTTCAGGGCACAGACAATCATTACTCTCCCCGACTTCCTATCGTTCATAGATCGTAGCAATATTTGTTTTTAATTCCTCTTCCACTGCGTATTCGCGCATCTATTGACTCAAACACGTTAAGTAGTTCTATAACCCTCTCTTGCCTTGACTTGTGAGTATTACATTTTCGAAGCCCTCTTTCCTTTGTTACCATACTAATTAAATTTTTTTATATATTCTGTTTATGGAATTTCTAGCATTTTTTTGTAGAATTACTTTTCTGTTACCCGAAGTTTTCTTATAAAAAATCCGGTATTATTAATAAGTCCCTAACACGACAAATCAATCAAGTTGGCTTTAAATATCCTGAAAAGAGTTGATCAAGCGTACGAAACGAATCAATCAATAAATCAACGAGTCTTACCTTGAGTTTTCTCTGTGAGTATCAGATTTTTCAAGCCGTCTTTCCTCAGAATTGGATTCACAAAAATTTCACCTGTTATCATTATTATTATTATTTTTATTTTCTTTGATTTCTGGCGTTTACAAATTTCTTTCCGGGTCCCGCCCAGGAACCTAAGGTTAAAAATGACATCATGACACTTTCCACTGACAAAAAAAAAAAAAAAAAAAAAAAAAATTACATAGATGAAGCACTTCGTAAAGTGGGGGCTGTACTTGTCAGAACAATTTTTTGTATCTCCTTGAGGCATGGACTTCCAGGAATCCCTTCAATTAGTCTACTGCAATCTTTTCCAACCAGTCCTAGGGCTCCAACTACAACAGGGATTGTTGATGTTCCCATATGCCACATTTTCGAGATTTCTATTTCAAGGTCCTCGTATTTTGACAGCTTTTTGAATATCTTCAAAGATACATTGCAGTCAGCATGGACTGCCATATCAATAAGGAGGTACCGTTTTTGTTTGTGGTCTTTAATAACAATATCTGGGTGGTTGGCCTTGATTGTCCTGTCAGTGTGTATTGTGTAGTCCCATAGAATTGTAACAGGTCCTATCTCCGTAACCGGGTCTGGGTGGTGTTCATACCAGTTTCTTTCAGTTTCCTTCCCGTAGAAGTTGCAGATTTTCCAGTGCAGATATTGGCCCACTCTGTCATGTCGGGTTTTATATTCAGTGGGTTTTATATTTTATTATTATTATTATTATTATTATTATTATTATTATTATTATTATACGTATAATTGTACTTTTCGCTCCCATCCTGATTAAAACTTCTTCCGCCTACGGTATTCTCATCATCCTTTTATAGATAGAACTTCCTGTTTGCCCAAGTTTTCTTCTAAACATTATTAGCATCCAGTCCCCGACAGGACAAATCATTCAAGGTGAAGGC